GCCTGCGCACGCGCACGCTCAGATGCACTCACAACCACAGTGAGTACCGGAATTTCTACGAGTGAATAATAGCAATTCCACTCGAGCAGAAGACTATACTTATTGAACGACTTTTAAATTGATGTTTTAAAAATACTAAATGGATGTCTTAACCTTAGAACGACCACAGAACACACCTCGCTGTTAGACCCCAACAAGAGGAGAACCCCCAAGACGTTTGTGACGAAAAATCTAAATCATTACACTACATTTCTTTCTTTACATCGCTGAACATGCGAAATCTTATCGAAGCAATGTAATGGAACAGAAGATATATTTATACAGTGACTTTTGTCAATTATTTAATGTGAAGTAATAAACCTTATCACTTGTCAATAGAGCATTCTGGTAAGTAGGCCGGTTCGATGAGCTTCTAAAAGAAGTCCTGAAGCGAGAAATAAATGCAGTCTTCCCGGGGATGTGCTCCATGCAGATCTTATCGCTCCCTCCCCCCTCCCCCCCACTGAACACCAGCTCTCTCTGGCTCTCTCAATTGGCGAGAAGAGCCTTCACGGCGAGAAGCAGGAATGTATGACTCTCGGAAAACACAGTGCTTGGTAAGCGACTTGTTACTCTGCGAAACACTACAACTAGGATCCCCCCCCCCACACACACACACTCAGACATTTTCGTAAACTGGGCACTCCCTTGCCTAGAATTAGTAACCACCTCTAATCTGAAGGCAAGGAGGAAATAGATAAAAAATTAATTGGTGTCAACTCGATAAAATATATTTACAGGTCTTATGGAATTGCCTATTTAGTGATCATACTACGAAGAAAATAAACGTGTTAAAACACCCAAGTTCATAACATAATATTAATTTTCTTTAACTACTCTATTAGCATTTTCCTTTTTGGTAACAAAATCGAGAAAAAAATAATCTCCGTAACTAGAAATTGAATTATCCAAAACCTGAGACGTGGCAGGTCTACGGACGACGCGACAAAGAACGAAACCTGCATATTTGAGTGCAGGCGGAAGGACTGACCTGGTGGCGAGTTCGGTGGTGAGGGGCGAGTAGGACGCGGCGGAGACGGAGGACGAGGCGACGGACGAGGACGCCCCGGACGAGTGGGACAGCGGGCCGTGCGCGTTGGCGTTGGCGTTGGCGTTGGCGTTGGCGTTGGCGTTGGCGTTGGCGTTGGCCGCCGCGCGGCCGCTGACGAACTGCAGGTGCAGGTCGTGGATGCGCGCGTTCAGCTCGCTCTTCTGCGAGACAGCGACGCGCAGCTGCTCCTCCAGGTCGCGCTTCGCCGCCACCAGGCTGCCCAGCTCCGTCTGCAGCTGCGACGCCCGCACGCGGCTCGCCAGCGTCTCCGCCTCCATCTCCGCCACCTGCACACGCACCTCTCCAACTACTCCGTTCCCAAGATTCGTTTCGGTAAGAAGACTTTGGGTTTCAACAAGTTGAGGAGCTACATAAAGGAGCGTGTTTTCAAAACTCCGGAAATGCATAAGACAGTTGTTCATACAACCAATGCTGAGATTGCATTTATATACGTTTTTGCTTGTTTTGTAATTATGATTTCTAATCTTGTAGTTTTGATAAAAACCAATTTGTGGGACGAAACAACGAGTCACAAGATGCCTAAACGATGTATAACGCATGTTGAATTTATTTTCTATTAGTGAAGTTTTGAAAAAAACGCTCCTCTATTGCAGAAGGCCTTTTGGCAGACATAATTCTCAAGGACTGTTAACCTCTTTGGAGAACTCTTATTAGAAAGGTCTCCAGAAAAGATAGAGACCCAAATGCACCGCTGGTTGGTGTGCTAAGTTAGGTATTCAGAATGTGGTACCCAATTCCTAATTACAACAAAACACTTTTCAGGTCATCGCGTACACACAGTACCTGAACATTAGAGAAAATGACGCAAGCTTTGTAGAATAATGATGCAACGCTGCTGATTGGAACGTTGCAATTAATTCTTCCAACCCTGGCCTCGTAGCGTGGGCCATCCGGCATCTCACCTTGTCGAGCAAAAAGTCTCTCTCCCTCCTGAGGCCGGTCACCTCGTCCTCGTCGGCCATCTTGAGGGCGGCGGCCGCGGCGGCGTCCGCCTTAGCGGCGGCCGCCAGTCGTAGTTCTCTCTCCTCGGGCGAGGCTCCCAGCGCCGCCTCCCCCGCCTGCAACGCCCACACGCCGCGCTCGCACACTCTCCGCTGCCAGAAACGGAGCACGCGGCTGCTCCACCGCGCCCACACGAAGCCAATGCTTGCAAGACGCGATTCATTTCCTGAATTTGCTAGTCCAGATACTTTTTCAATCTAGTGTCAAATGCATATACATTTATTATATTTTTTCTACATTCTTTGAGTTTTTGTTGCGTCTTAGCATATTATTTATTTCAGAATTTTCAAGTACAGGCATGCCCGTGCCAGATTCTAGTTAAATTTCTCGTCTGCGAATATATACACAATCTTCTAATATACAATAATCGTTAATCTAGCGAAGAGTGTGACACGTGCGACTCGCGAAGCGAGGAGGGGATTTATCTGAGAATTTCCAGAGCACGGTTGATATTTAATAGGCCTATTCCACGAATGAAATTATGTCCAATAGAATTCCAAAATGCAGCAAACATCGAAAATAACTGATAGCTATGTTAAAATCAAAGAGGTTATGTTATAGTACATACGCGATTTGTGGGACATCGACATAGCGATCGATGTATATCACCTAAGATAGGTGAGGCACAGTTTATGATTAGCCAGTAGGGAGATGCGGTAAGAAAACTCGCGATAGAAAATGCGATACACTTATTGAGATACAGCGCTTTGATTGGCACATGTTGCATGTGTAGTTAAGCACTATTGGTTTTGTTTTGCCGAGTGGAGTGCGGCTTCCGGCTGGGCTGACCTGCAATCGCTGCTGCAGGTGCTCCACCTCGTCGCGCAGGCGCGTGCCCTTGCGCTGGATGACGTCGAGCAGGTTCCACAGCTCGTCCTCTGCCTCGTCGGGCAGCTCGGCCGAGGAGGGGCAGTGCGCCAGGAGACCCTTGGCCAGCCCGCCCGCCGCCGCGCCGGTGCTGCCGCTGCCGCTGTGGTGCTCCTTGCTGGAGGAGGACGTCTCGGTGCCGAAACCAGAGTCCTGCACGGCGCTGGAGCCGGCGCTGCTGGTGCCGCTGCCCTCGCCGCTCTTGGGCTGCTGCGTCGCGCCCGCCGCCGCCCCCGCAGACGAGCTCCCAGCGCCCGCCTTGCGCCCCGCGCGGCCCAGCGACGCCGCCGACGGCAGCTCCGCGCCGCCTGACAAAGCCACATTCAACACCCCGCGCCACACTCACTTCTGACTCTCAGCAAGGCTGGCCTGGCCGGAATGAACTTGCTTCGCGAAAACAGGGACATTTACATTCAACTTTTTATAAAAAAAAAACAAGTTTCTTAGACAGCGGAGTGGCGCTTTACAAGACAGTTTTGATATATTAATACTCGTAAATAGCAAACTTCGTATTAGGCTCAATATAAGCGAGGCCACTCCCTCTCGAGTCCTCAATTTCAATTTATGGATAATGTGGTTGGGGTAATTTGGAGGAATGGTAGAGGGTTCGAAATTAGATCTGGTTACGTTAGAAAAGAAAATGAGTTATTAAGGTGGTCTGAAATCTTCGGGAAATCTGGATTTAATTCTCCATTGGTTGTAGGAGTTCCTATGTAGAAACTTGTGACTGGGGAAAACGGTAAGGTTTGAAAAAAAAAATTATAAGAAAGATTTGAAATGAATTGGGCTGTTGTGAATGAAATTCTTTATGCAATTTATTATCAGAGAAAAACCAAGGTGCTTTTGCTGCAGTACGAAGTAGTTTGTTTTAAAAACCTTGAAGTGGTTTTACTACAGTACGGGGCAGAACCTCCTCAAATGGGGCTGAACTGATTCCGGTGCGAGGCAAGGCCATCAAGCGAGGACTAACTTGATGCTTTTTAATATGGAGGTCCTTGTAAGAAAATTGAGTTATAAATATTTGTTCATTGTTGAAGTATTTAATATACATTTCGATCCGGCGCCGGCCTGCAATTTGGCTTGCGGGTTTTTTCCGAACTTCATATCTTCCACCAGCGGGGCAGCGCCGCAGCCGGGACTCAGAGTGGTGCATAAGAGTAAAAAGGGGTGTAAAAAAGGTGATGATCGCGCGCGGTCCGCGTCCCTTTTGTTAGAGCACTGTCCAGCATTCGCGCTGACAAATCGCAGAAGCTACCGATCAGAGCCGCCGGATGCTAGAATTCTGCCCCAGACGGAGGATGGATTGGGCCTAGCTACGTAGCTACGGTCGAAACTTCTGCACCCGAGTGCAATGGAATCCCACATGGAACATCCATAGCCGATGTTCATGCCAGTCCTGGGTAGGACAGCGGGAGGGGTGGGGGGAGGGTGAGAATGGGGGCGGCGCTCACCTGGTCCGTTGCGAGTGGTGCGCCGTGAGCGGCAGGAGGGCGCGTGGTGCGGCTTGCGGCGCAGCTGCGCCCGGCTCCAGGCGCCGCGCGGCCCCGCCGCCGCCGGCCGCCGCCGCCCGCCGCCGCCGCCGCCAACGCCTGCTCCCGCGCCCGCCCCCGCGCTCAGCGGCGCCGCGAGGGCGTGGGCGTGGGCGTGGCCGGGGGCGCCGCCCACCGAGTGCAGCGCCGACGACGAGGAGGCGGAGGAGGGGGAGGCGGCGCCCGCGCCCCCGCGGCCCGCGCTGACCATCTTCTGCTGCAGGTGCGGGAACGTCTCCATGACGAGGTCGCGGAACTCCAGCAGCGCGCCGACTTCATTCTGTAGCTCCTGCAACACACACACACACACACACGAATGCTCGTCTACTTTCAGTATAAAGCGCACACCAGTAGGCATATTTATATAACAATATCAACATAACTTATGCTACGAGTAATAATGCATTACTGTGAACTGTTCAAATACTTCTAGTCTTAAATAAAATTTCAGCTAAGAAAAAAAGTCGAAATCTACGGATAAAAATGTTTATATACTACAATATTTTCCTTGCAACATTACACTTCGGCATTTTTACGAGTGTGTTATAGAAACCAAAACAACTTTCGATTTCACAGCACCTACTACCAGTCAAGGGCCTAATTCCATAAAAATATAGCCATAAAAATGGAGTTCAAAAACATAGTATTTTTTCTTACAAACGAGACGCAGAGAAACCTGGCACAATCAGTTACCAAATACACTGGTAGCGTTCGATGGAGTTCGCTTAAAAACAATGACTGAAATAGTGAAAAAAAGTTTGGACAATGATTGTCGAACGCACGCCCGACGTGGTTAGGATGGATAATAATACAACAAGCAGGTAGCAAAACGAGACTACTTTGGATCGAGATTTTAATGATCGGTTGTCGGAAGTAATGTTGTGAGCAAGCTTCATCTGCATAGTTGATTCAGAATATTTTAATAATAAAGACGTTAAAAAATATGCATCATAATATAACAATAACATGGATTTTAAAACAAACGTATTCGTATGTTTGCAAACCTTTATGCTTTCTATTAAAATATCACAAAATGTTACGCCAATAAATTTCTCTTTGTATGTTTTCATGTATATTGAATGATTTCGAAGAAAAATATATAATTTAAATAAATACCAATCGAAATGAAATAATTTAATTAATTTAATCGAAATATAAAATGAATTTAGGTATTTAAGTGTTCGTATATTTGAATGTTGCAGTGCACAGTTGCAAATTTACGCACGTAATTTCATTAAATTATCCCAACAACGACGCAAACACTCATCCACATGTTTCTCAAATAATAAATCTCGCATTTTAATACAATTTTGCATTAATGCTTGTAGGAATATGAATAAGTAAATTTGTACACTGCAAAACCATTTACCGAGATCTCCAGTAAAAAAATCTAATTCGGAATGACCAATGTGCGCTAAAAGGAAACAGAAGCACAAATGGAAACGGCGAAGAGCAGAGATTTAGCAAGACGTAAGCCGGGGATTACGACCGCCTGCAGTTCCACCGCGGCGCTTCACAGGCGCGGAGCCGCGAGCGGCGTGGGAACGGCCCAGCCGGCGGGGGCGGCGGCGGGAACACGTCGCAAGGGAGGTGGAAGAGCTCCCGGAACGAAGGAAGTTACGAAGACCGACCTGAAGGTATTGGCAGAAACGGAGATAGCCATTTGAAGACTGCCTCAAGTACGACTGCTACTGGGGATCAAGAGAATCAATTGCGGATAGTGATATGGCTCGCATTGACTTTTATGGGATGGAAATGAAAGAATTAGAGCGAGTGTTACGGTGATGACTGAAAATGTTGATAATTATGCCAAAGACAGAAAATATATTTTTACTTTCTCGCAACCGCTTACGCAGTGAGCAAAAACTTATGTAATGCTGCGCGAAAAAAATCGATTTTTTTGCAGAAAAACGTATTACAGAGCCCTGGTAACTGAAAAGTGAAAAATCCCGTTGCTTTTAAGAAAAATTCCTCTAACACGTCATGCGGCCAGTGTCTATGTTTTGTGAGTCCTTGATACGGAAAAATCGAATGGCGGTAAAACGTCCGTCTGTCTGTCTGAACAACGCAAGCGACTTAACCGTTCAGCCGATTTTCTCCAAAACTTATATTTCCCGATCGATCTGGCTGATGTGACGGTTCTTTGAATTTGAAACCCCTTATTTTAATTTTGGGAGAGTACATAAAGCCCCTGGAACATTTTCCAAATAAAAAATAAAAAATTAAAGGTTCTATCGTCTTTGATTAAACCATGTTTTTTGATCGTGTAACGCTTAAGAGAATTGTGCAAGTCTCACTTTCGTTGAAAATTCTTATTTTTCGAAAATTGCAAATATTCAAAAAAATTTAGGAGTCTTCCTACAACTACAATTATGAACAAAGCTATTTTGTTCTTAATGAAATCTTTACCTTAAAGATACATTTTGAAGTGTACAATTTTTTAAACATTCGAGTACTTCACTCGTAATTTTACGTGAAAATACGGGCGAGAGTGAGCGTGCTGTTTTAGCACCACTAGTTTTTACGTTGTCGTTGAAGATGCTGCGAAAACCCAGGAGTGACAACAGATAATCACCCGAGCGACAGGAGGCACGGGTAACGTCGGACGATGGCTGCAACAAGGCAATGGCGGCGGTGAGGTTGAACGGAAGGGGGGGGGGCGCAAATCGGGACTCGTCATCCTCCATAATGGATGCGACCGCCGCGCCGGGGTTCGAGAGCGCTCTCGCTCCGCCGCTCTCCATCGGGCGGTGCTCCACATACCTCTCGGCTCTCGCTGCTGCAAACGAGGACGCAGGCGCTCTCTCGACAGCCACACATCGCGAATGCTTTACTTCCGCCCGGGATGAAAAGGCTCTAGTTTGTACAGATTCTTAATAAAATAGGCGGTTTGTGATTCTTTTGCTCTGATGAATTGTAATCCAACACCAACGTAATGCAATTACATCAATTACCTTTTTAAATAGAGAAACAATGACGGTAGAGATATAGTAAATATTTTTCAGATGTGGGAAATTTTGAAAATCAAATCAATATACAATGTACGTTTGTATGTTGATCATTTTACAGAAATTCGTAACTAAAAAATAGAGTCTGTAACTCTGCCTACACCAATAATTTAAGTAAGTTTTATTACTAGTGGAAACGAGAGAACTAGGCTATAGAATAAATTCTTCCAAGATCAATATTCTCCTCGTTTAAGCAACGCGCAGGTTTTCTCGTGAGGAGTGCAGTGGGGCGTGCAGCTGCAGTGGCTCACCTGCAGCGCAACCAGCGACTTGGCCTGCTCGCTGATAAGGTAGTGGAAGGGCCCGGGCGCGCGCTGCTGCAACGGCAGGCAGTCCATGCCGGGCGCGCCCCCGCCGTCCGGAACCTGCAACACGCACAGCACATGAGTATTGCGGGTGTGCATAACGCCAAGGGGATCGCGTCAACTCCAATGCAAAGATTTTGATATTTATGACAGAGTGCCATCTCCACGAAAAACGAACGACTAACCAATGATTTAGGTTATTTTTGATTTGTTATCGACTGTTTCTTAATTTTTCTTCTAATATTACCTTACTTTGCAAAGATTCAAAACAATCTGAATGGAATAAATCGAAATAATAAGGTTTTCATTACGGTAATTTAATATTAGTTTTCAGAATTCTTATCTAGTGCTTTCCAGATATATTTCTAATCATCTCTTGAATATGAATAATTTAATATATTTTATTAAAATAACTTAATATAATCCACTAACGAGTATGAAATACACTACTATTGTCACGCCTTACAAAGACGTAAAAAACATATTCATCATACAAAGTATGAACATAAAAGAATGAAAACTATTACAATAAATGTAGAACTTTGACCTATTTCTAGAAAGTTTCATTCACGTGTATTCACGTGATAGGGACAACATAACCACGAGTGTATTCTCGTGAATACACTAGGAATGTACTAATAAATTATTGTCCAGTAAATCCAAATCTTAATGTTCCAAGCGCTACAATCAACGTAGATGCAATGCAAACTGTCTGCGACGAACCTCTATGCATTTGAAAAGGCATGTTACAAGAAATAACGTTATATAACGAAAGTAGATGTTATGTCAAAGATGAGATTCTCTAAGGAAACAACCATATGAGTTTGCAGAACACGAGATTTTTACATTGAAATTGGCAATGGCATGTTGCATTTCGTTCCGTTTGAAGAAAATCTTTGTTCCCCTGTTCCTACACGCCAAAACAGAACATATTCGAATACTTCTAGACAGAAGAATAAAGAGTTTCAGGCCAGTAGATTTCAAAGCAAAATGTAAAACATATCTGAAAACTTACAGTTCCCATTCAGTCTCTGCTACATCATTAGTTTTAAAGCAAAACTGAAATAAAGTGAATTTGTATGCCTCTTTCTTTCGAATGTACAAGTATTTGAGTAATTAAAAAGCGCTTACAGTGAAATGATCACTAACTTCTCGGCAATTCAAGAATTTTTTTCCAATCAAGATTTTCCCTACACAGATGCTGAATCATGTGCTCTATCCTACACATCTGAACTTTATGGCAGTAATTTGTTTTAATGTATTAAGCGAAACCTATTCCAAAGAAACAGATACGAGTTGAAGTCATGAATGAATACGCATTCTAATATTTTCATTTCATCATTAATTTATCTGTTGTTTTTATAATTCAGTTTTACTAGGCACCGATGGACCACAAAGTGTCGTTTGCGAGGAAACGCGATCGTAATTCTGGCAGCTCTTGCAGCGCGGCTTCAGGGCTGAACCCGGCTAAACGGCCCGCGCGCACGAGCACGCGAGTGCGTAGGCTCGCCATCACGGCGCGAGCTAATGGGCGCCCAACGGCCGCCCTGCAGCTGTTTCGTTCGTGGACCAGAGGTGGAGGGTCAAATGCACAGCCTCCAAAATCTCCCGGAGAATACTCTGAAGCTCTTTGAAAATACACGGGCATTCAAGTTTTGCTAATAGATCTTCCTTTTGCACATATCGAATATTTGTTAACAATCACAACTATTCTACAGAACTGAGTGATGAAAACAAACATATGATACATTCAATACGCAAATTAATAAACATACTTTTAATTGCGCCAGTTCATGCCTTGGAGTAAATCAGTATAGTATATTATAATTCATTCAAATATTTAATTTTGCCAGTGTTTTACCAATCCGAATTTATATACTATAGTTTGAAGATGATACAGACGTAACAACTGAAGATTGACAAGGAATAGGTAATCGCTTGTTAATAGCAAACGGACTAAAACCATATTTCCGCCCTTTCCAAAAGCTACCACAACAATAGACTTTAATATTATGGAATTATTAAACAATTAATTTTTCAGAATATGTCTAATAATATTGTTAGTAATAAGTTGCGTTGTGTTTAAATTGCCAGTTCATTTTTATAAGCATTGCCATGCAAGTATTTGCCACCAATGTCTCGCCAAAAAGTACTTTTTCGTTTCCAGTTCGCGCGTATGTGTTTCACATTCCTTCGCTCTTCTCCTACGCAAGTGCATCTCTCTCGGGTGTCAAAGTGCATCGTGAACACCCACACATCGAACACAAAACTGTAACAGGTTGAAAGAAAGCGAGGGCCCCAGCAAGGGAGAAGAGGAATCAAAAAGACAAACACCGGCGCGCACAGACTGGTTCCCAAGGCGCAAACGCAGCGCAGAATGCAAAACGACACGCCGCCGAAAAGAAGCTCATTAATAAATTCAAATTCAGTGGCGGCGGCGGCGAAGGCGGCATAATAGCAAGCGCGCCGCTACCGTTCAGCCTTGGCGCAGCACAATGCGACGGCGACGCGGCTGCGCGGACCCCGGATTGCGCTCGACCCGTTCGCGTAAGGTCACCCGCGCGCTTTAAAACAACGCACGCGCGCCCACTCGCGTGCGACGGTGAACAACGACGTTTCCACTCCCCGCTCCTTCCGCGATGGACGTAAACGGAGGAGCACGTTTCGCGACACGACCCACCGCTGACTCTCTGCAGGAACAGCACTCCGTTCGAACAGTATTTATGGAAATCCAGTCCCAATAATCTGCATACCTGACAAACCAGCGGTTAACAAAGAATCGCAGCGAATTTTTCTCCACCGCAAACGCCAATACAGGTCTTTTTATGTTTGTTTTGTTTCAAAGGACACCCCCCATTGTGAGAACGAAGGCCAGTCTAGTCGAATCTCTCTTTTTAGGTGGCAGAAATAGGCCAAGGAGTCGCGCCGCAAGGAGCGCTCCGATTCGCGTTATTTAAGCACTGTTCGTTCGAGTTAGCAAAGCGAACAGCAAAGGGACGTCGGCGGGCGGGCGGGCGAACGCGGGCGACACGCCGCGCCGCCTGCAACTTTCACGGGCGCCGCTCGCCCGCCGCCAAACGAGCACGCGGCTCTCCGGGGACGGGGCGTGACGGACGGACGCACGGCTGGCTCGCGGGCGGCGGCTGCGAAACCCGGGGCGGAGGGGGCGGTGTGCAACGCACTCGGAGAGATGGAATTCCAAAGAGGACAAATAGCGTCCCGTGGGCTAGCATAAGACGTCAGAGAAGGTACAGGCAAACGGGGGACACACGACAACGATAAGTCTGAAATTAAATGAAAAAAGTGTACGTTCTGAATTCAACAGAAGGCGAACATGTAAGGCATCTGTAAGTGACATATGATTAGAGTATACAGAATTAAACTATTGGACAAGGACCAATGACGTGTGTTAACAGCACCGTTCAAATTTACAAGATATAGCTATTGAGGAGTACAAGAACATATTACGCCGTTCTCTTTATCTTACACGCTTATATCGTCACGTATGATTCCCCTCTATAGGGAATGTCATGAACGCTACTACATGGAACGCTCATGAATGCGTCCAACTGAAGATAGCCCAGACCGTTGAGATTTACTGCACTAGAGGAAAGACACTGCGAGACCATTTATAGTAATTGGTGTCCATAAGACTCACAGGCAAAGTGGTCAAATTATACTTTTCTTCTCAGTTTTGGTTAAAAGTAATAATACATCTGGTTTGTCCTACTATCTTAAAATTAAGATATCTTGGTGTCATTCTTATTTTATTTACAGTAAGGAATATTTCAGTCAAATGACAGTTGAAATGTGCTCTTAATCACAAAAGAAGCAACATTTTTATCAACTTAGTTAAACATCAACATAATAAACCCTTCCCGAGCAATCTGACTCTCGAATGAAGCAGTAGAACATAAGCACCGGGAGGGGTGGTTCAGGGCATCAACTGATGTCACTGCGGTGCCTCTGAGCGGGAGGTACTGGTCTTAGAGAGGTTCTCAAATATCGAGCAGTGGCAGGATTTTCGACACTAGCTACGTAGCCTAATCGAATTAAGCCGCGGCCTTGAGGAGAACTCTAGCAGTCGGTTGCTCTGATCGGTAGTTTTCAGTAATTTCTCCAATCAACACCAGATGAATGCCGGAGCAGTACTCTTGACAAACGGAGCGTAGAACGCGCGCGATCTTTCCTTCCTCTTTCGTTTACTATCCTCGCCCCCTTACTTACTCACACACTAACATACACTCACTACTACATTCCGCGACACCGCCGGGAGCTAAGAGCATGTCCCGGCTGTGGCGGTGGTCAGCTAGGGAGAGATACCTGGTTGGAGAAATCTGCGCTAGCCAACAGTATATCGGCGGCAGATCTCACCACCCAGCGAGGGAAGACCACACCTCCACCACATCCCAAGGGAAAAGCATGCACTACACTTACGGAATCAATAACCTTAAAAAGTGAAGCTCCAGAAATCACTATCATGAACATATGCTATAATTGCGTAGAATTCATCACATTTTTTTATTGTCCATACGCTTTGGAGATATTAAAACAAAATTCGAGTTTAGCACACGTAGGGACAATCACGTCATCGTGCTCCTCTATTGACGAGAACAACACAGCAACAGAGAGAGAGCTGTGCAAACCGAGCGGAGGGTTTTTGCGGGTGCGTTCCCGTCACACAGAAATAGTACTTTGCCACAAGCAGAGCTCTGAAAGTCCTGCGACTCTGATGAATAACGGCGAATGTGCTCGTACTTTACAACTAGCGACTAATGGCTGCAGTATTATTCACATGGAGTTTGCATGCGGTCGAAACCATAAATCGACCAAAACGAAGATTGCGCTGGAAAGAATATTAAATCATTATATTTCATTATGCCGCGGGAGAGTTTAAATGAGCTTTTTTTTTAAATTAATGAAATATAAAATTTAATATACATCTATACACAAAAGAATATGAGGTTCTCATTTATAAAGCGTGCTAACCAGCAAACAGGTTAAAGCCCGTAGTAAGTCCGTCAGCAAAACGGTAAAATTTTAAAATGAAAATACATTAT